ATAACAAACAAAGTGATCTATCCGTATATAATTAACAGTTATGATCAAAAGAATTCGAACATGTAAGTTACTTTGGACTCTTTAAAAGCAATGCGATCTACATACCATGTTAATGTACATCTATATATCATAATGTAAGGCACTAACTGAAAGCAATAATGGCAACTTGTTCGAACAATCATACTTTATCTTTCTCCCTTTGAACCTTATCTCAATATTTTAGTTTAGCTGTAACGACGACTGTCACAACCGTACTCACTCTTCCCTATGTACTATGCAATTGTATGTTCCAAAATTGAGTTTAAATGATTAGTTAGTATTATTAATTCTAAGCAACAATTCAAATGCAATGAAACACTACTTCAACGAAAATTACTGAAACTTCTATTTTTGAGAACATACAAAACTTATCCTGACGGTTGTTTTAATAATAATACTCTGTGAGCTATGTAATAAAATTATTAATTTCAATTTAATTAAGTAAATATGTAAAGTTCCAAAAGTTTAACCCGGGTTGAGATAACTTTTACGGCATTTTTACGCTAGTAATAAAATACAATTAAAATAAATAACTATAATAGATATTAGGAAAAAAATAAATGCAACAAATGTCATAAAAGATTACTGTTTCAATCATAATTGTACGAAGTGAATTTAAATGTTCGTTGCTTTACACCTCCAATAAGTTTCTAGCCAGAGTAATGGGATTGTTAACTACGATTTTTTGAAATTTCTTGCTACAGATTTATTTCTTTGATAACTAACACAGTTCACGCTAACATTTTACAGTACTAATGCTACACATTTTAGCAGTATTTCTATACTCAAGGGCCAGCGCACAAATCAATAACAGCAAATTTTCCAACATTCATTCATATGTTCATCTGTCATATTTGCTTCTCTTCTGAACATGACAATATGTAGTCTGTTTTGAAATTCCTCATTTTTTACAAAACACTCACTCATATAAAATGCTTCTATACATAAAGGATTTGTACCAAACTTGATCAACAGCTATTGATGCCATTTTTGCTGTCATTTTCATTCTAAACTAAAAGTTATGATTTTTCTAAAAGCTTGAAAATGTATATATGTACTCGTATAATAAAAAGTTTTGCAAATATTCAGTGATATAGAAAAATAGTAGTCCTCTATAAGAGTTCGTATAAAACTTTATTAATATCCGCTGATATCCATCGGTGCTTCTGTCACATGCAACTTTTTAAATAATATTGGTGTAGGTACCACATCGAAACTACACAATTTATTCATTTGAATTTGATGAATTGCATCATAAATAAATACTTCTATACATAAAAACTCGATTGTCACCCAAAAGAATATAATATCTATTACTCTCTATCATCTGGCCAACCTTGCCAAAGTCCAAAGAGTAATGCTTGGAACTAGTTAGATATTATTGATTATAATTTATCACCCTGATATCATATTGAGATAATATATATATATATATATATATATATATATATATATATATATTATCTCAATATAATTAATTGAATTTTGAAGTTTTTAACAAATTACTTATGGTCATAATAGCCTGCAATTAAGTTTTTGAAACTGATTTTTATTAAACAGATGACAAACCCCTGACCCAATGCCCCAATGGATATAATTAACTTCCCGTAGGGTAAGTTATTGTAATGGGCCGAAAATCGGAATTGAAAATTTTAACATTTCTCGACGTTTTGAAGGTTTCTGAACATTTTGGCATACCTCAGAAAAAATGGATGTGTGTGTGTGTGTGTGTGTGTGTGTGTGTGTATGTATGTGTGGATACAAATTTCCAGTCACGTTTTAGGGCGCACGGATCAACCGATTTGAATGGTTCAAAAAACATTCGATTCCTATTGATAGGGAAAAGAGCTGATTAGTTTTTGGCAAAGGCAGGTCCAGCCGTTTCGGAGATACGGTGCAAAGAGTGCAGAAAATAGAAATCGAATTTTTGAGAGAACGGAGTATCCGATTTGAATCATCTAAAAAACATTCAATTAGTAATGATTGGGAGAAGTGTTTATTAGTTTTTGGCAAAGGCAGGCCCAGCCATTTTGAAGATACGGAGCTAAATATGTAAAAAATGGCAGTTTTTGAGAGAACTAAGCGTCAGATTTAAATGATTCAAAGAACTTTCTGCTTGTCTTAACAAAATAATTGATTTTGGAGAAAAAAAATTTTTGTTCGATTTTTTTTTTTTTTTTTTTTTTAGTTTTTTGTTGAAACAAATAATTTCAACTTTGCAATTCAGTTTATATAATTCTTATAAATATTAGACAATGTTACAATATTTATAATAATCTATTTGAAAACATTCAGTATTCCTCGAACATTTCGTTACGGTACGGGAAGTTCCAGCAATTTGCCTTAAGGCACGATGCCACCCACCCCACTAGTTACACCCGTATTAATAATATTTCATTACGGTGATTGCATGGGTATATGAGCATAAAAATTAAATTGCCATTTATATAGTTAATTATTTCATTGCATATTTTGATATAAAATAGTTTAATCAGTCTATAGTAGTCAAATATCGCATAAAATATATAATTAAATGAAATTGTTTACGAGGTCTATTTATAATTACAGATTCTGTTATTTCCAAATATATAAATAGTTCACAATAATATTCTCATGATAATTATGTATTTTTGCCAAACATTGACCTGAATTAAGTAATTGGGATAACACTAATTGGTACATGATGTTGGCTACGGAATATATTGATCGCAGAACAAGCGAACACGATAAAACATTTCCTTTGGGATTTGTAAGAATATGTTCTATAAATAAATAAATAAATAGAAAAGTATCGGCAAAGACAGAAATATTCTGTTAAAAATATACTATGTTTTCCTTTCACGTTAAATTTTCGAATCAATCGATCCATCAGTAATCTTGTACAAGAAAAATTAAAGTAGAAAATTGTTGTAGTGAGAAAAAAGTCTAAGAAACTCTTTTGAAATAAATAATAATAACCAATAGTGATGATAATTCTTGTCTACGTATAACAAATGGTTCAATCAGATTTCAGTAGAATGTTAATATTTATCGATTGTATATTCAATCCATTCAGAGATGAAGATATTTCAAACATATTTTTATATTATTATTCTTTCAATTTCAATATGATAGTATTTATAGATAAAATAGTAATAGATCATGAATTATGATCAATAGAGAATAGATCATGGTTTTTCACAAAAAAAGAGAATTTACGATTAGCCAAATATCAGCACTAAATTACCTTAGCATGATAATATTGAAAGCAAATTATTGTGATTGAATAGTATAATTGAATAATTTCGGTTTCTAATTATTAAACTATAAATCGAAAATTTAAAGGAGTGAAACACAAACCTTTCTACTATATTTTAGGGAGCCGAGAAATATATGCAATATTTCATTAAAATCAGTTGCGCTGTTGGAGATTTTAATTATTTCTCATCGTTATATGAAATTTCCATACATCTCTGCATGTGCATATATATATTAATATATATATATATATATATATATATATATATATATATATATATGTGTGTATATAAATATGTTGTACAATTTCCAAAATATATAAAATGATTCTTGAAAAATAGATTGTAAAGAATGCTGCAAGCTGAAGAACACACATGCTCATTTATAAACAAACTTTAAAATAAGATACGTTAATTAATATAAATATTAATGAATGTCAATTAATAAAAGAATTAAAATAATATATGTTAATAAATAGTATTTGCACAGTTTCAATTCGAGTTTTTTATAATTTAAACAACAAATATTGTTGAGAGGATTGTGGATTAATTCAAAAAGTTGAAGAGTTCAGAAGAGCAAAAAGTAATCTTTTATGACTATCCAAATCATAATAGGCGTACCTATTTTATATCTCAATATTTATAAGTTTTGTTTCTAGAATCTAAGTAAAGACGAAATGGATATGAGACGAAAGGACTTCGAATAAGCTAAAATTAATTTTGTATTTTAAAATATGTTTTTTTATATTTGAAATTACTGACAGAAATACGTAATTAATAAGCAGGCCTTAATGGGCAACTGAATGTTAGTTGCAATTATAACTTTACCATAACTTTTAGTTTATATCAACTTTAGTATACAAAGATTATAATTATATTACAATTTTTATCACATCTCTAGTACGATGCTTTTTAGACAAAATATAATATACCCACAATCAGGAGAAAATCCAAAAGATTAAGAAATCTAGCTACATTCAGCTTTTGATCATTTTAATTACGATTACAGGCACTGATACAAAAACAACAAAAAAATCTACCTACTTATCAGACAACCATTAGAAGAAATTGCATTAATTAAAGTAATGGATTAGAGATATGGAATCTAAAGCAGACCTCTTAAAAGTACCTAGATGATTTCGAAATGTGGTACTGGAGAGAAAAAAATAGACCTTGGAGGTAACAAATAAAGATACTGCGGATAATGGGAGAAAAATAATCTGTGTTGTATGCGATTTTGAAAAAAAAAAACAAAAATGTTGAAACCCACGCTGAAAAAGACTTTCTTGCTCTTTTAAATTCTAGACTCTAGAAGAAACAATGCAGAGAACCCTTGATATTTCATATAAATTTGAATCCGGAGACAGAAGACGGATGCAAAAGTTTAAGAAGTAAAATCCATCATAGTAAACGTGGAAAATGAGCAAACAAATGTGGTGCACTCACATCACGTATAAAGCTTCAGGCAGAGCACCAATAATAACTTGTACTTAATTCATATTCATGAGTAACGCTTATGGACACATAAAATAATTTTATCTACTTCCATATAAAGTAACTTATGTAGTTAGTTTATATTACATATAGTTGAACAACATTTTGATGACCGCAAATAACAAATCTAATAAACATTCTTGTATATATATATATATATATATATATATATATATATATATATATATATATATCATATACACATATATATGTATATAATTCTTCTACTACCTGGCATTTTGTACAGTGAAGCTCGATCGCATTGGACTGATGAGACAGATTTGGAATCGGCTTGTCCAGCGCAAAGGCACATGGAGTTGAAGCCGCAAGGCGCAGGCTGGACCGAGAAGCCCGGCTGCACGTGGCGGATCAGTATCAGCCATGTCTGCACGCAGAACAAGGCCGCGATCCTTAAATCGCTTTTAGGATTCTGCATGCCTGGAAATAAACAATATATTAATTAGATATATAACTATTAATGCAATGGTGTAACTGGTCTAATTTTACATAGGTTAACTCGATGAAAATCATAGGTTATTGTATATATTACGTCAGTAAAAGAAAAATGATTATTGTTGGCTTACCCTAGAAAAGAATTTTATTTTATCATTTTATTGGTATTCAATACGATTTATCAAGCCTCACTGCTATTTTGATACTTTTTATAAACCGTGAAATCATCTTATTTCACCTCAAGCAAATAACTAGAATGAAAAGTAAACTTATATAAAAATAGACCTATAATTTCTGCCATAAATTCTACTTTACACAACGTTTTATAAATGTTAGGTTTATATGTGAAAAGAATAAAAATCTCAATAATAATACAATCAGATATCATAAAATTAACAATTTAATTAAAGCAGAATATAGTAGTATTTAATTGCCTCAAAGTTGTACCAATAAATCTTTAGCAAAGAAATGATTGAAAATTAGTTACCTAAGAGCAGAATATTGTTGTGTCTATTTACCAATATTTTCTGTAGGTTTTAATAAAATTATTTATAAAATAAGATAGTAATTATAGTAGTTTGAATAAATCTATCTGAAACAGCGATAGTCTTATTTTCTCTAATACATAAAAATAGATTAGAAACAAAAGGGAGAAGTTTTAGCATTCCCATTCATGTTAAACTTTTTTGAATAATAAATAATAGAATTACACACCAAATAACTAATTTCGTAGATGAATTAAGTGAATAGTTAAAACTCTGAAAGAGTAATCCGACTTGCTTCAGCTAACTAAAAATTCATTTGATTTATTAATTAATGAATCTAATAATGGAATATATATAATAATTAGACGTTTTTTTCGACGTTTAGTCGTCGAAATAAAAGAAACAAATAAATACAAAATATTTATCTAAAATATACGTTTCGACACGGATTGTGTGTCATCATTCAGCAACTTTTCAGTTTTAAAAACAAATGAAAAACATGTGTCAGTTAATATTGTTAGTTTATGTATTTATTCTATTTTTAATGCATATGTAATTAGTTTTAAAACAATGTATTTTTTGTGTGTTATTTTTTCCTGATCTGGTACTGTTAACAAAGAATTGCTGAATGATGACACACAATCCGTGTCAAAACGTATATTTTAAGAATATTTTGTATTCATTTGTTTCTTTTATTTCGACGACTGGCTGAAAATCATATCAAGATATATAAATATATATATATATATAAATATAATATATATATATATATATATATATATATATATATATATATATATATATATATATATTATATATATTATATATATATATATATAATTTTATTTTTGCAGAAAATTTGTTTTCAGATTGAGCATTATAAATCTTATATATTTTAGACATGTAGATGTTGGGAAATTTATTTTGATCGTAAATTTCTAATATAATATTTTTCATAATATAATAACTGGTTCAGCAAATGCATTCCGTAATCGTTTTCATTGTTAAAATGACCCGGTATTCAATATAAAAATCCATAATTTATAGTGGCATGCAAGGAAACAGCTAATATCACAAAACGATGACTATAAAGCTTTCTACGTGATGATAAAATATAGAAAAGTACAATATCTTTTAAATTACATCGATTTAATAAAATATTATCATGATTCTGTAATGCAGCATATTAATATTAACTTTTGTCAAATTAGGAACTTATAATAGCCAACGATAATATTTTATATATATATTTATGTTGCATTATATAAATAAAAACTTTATTTGGTAAACAAACCATTTGAAGTTGAATCAAAATAGAATTATTGAAAATAGTTGAAAGATTTTATCACTTTTATATTAATTGGTATTTATTTTCAGTTTTTTTTTAGTATGCACTTTTCGATCAAAAATTTCATATACTCCTATGTATACAGTGAATTATAATCACCATAAATCATAGTATTTGATAAAAACTTTATAAAATATAGACTTTTAAACAAATTTATCTAGTATTTTATTTGTATTAGATGAATAAATAAATGTTGAATGATTTGTCAATTTGCAGGCTAATAAAAATGTTGTGAAAATTTATGAGCGATTATATTTGGTCAATAAAAAATAATTTATATTTGATACCGACTATGATATGATTCATTGAAGTACTAGGTTGAAAATACTTTAAATGAATGTATGCTAATTCAATAATAGTGAAAATAGAAAACAGACTTGATGATAAACAGATTTTGTTTTTGGGTAATAATAAACAAATTTGGTTACTTGAGAATTTCAGAAAACGTTTGGATGAATAAATTTTTATTCAAATATTTAGGTTAAGACCTGCTTATGATACTTACATATATCGTAAGATTCTATTATACTTAATACATTAAGAAAATTTTAGGCTATGTCACAGTAATTTCATTGAAAGTATAATTATATAGTAGTATGTTATTTTTTTAATTAGAGTGTTTAATGTTCCTCATTTAAAAATTTAACACAGCAAGAAATTGTTCCATCGAATATCTATACTCGTACATATTATTTTACTCTGTCATGTAAGAATCGACTCGTTCATGTAATCTCAACTGTTGAGAAATTGAAATTAATGGTTGTGAAAATCGCAATGATCAGCTGCTAAATGCAGTGCCAACAATTGCCACCTATTAAGAGTACCAAACTAACATCAGTGACGATAAAATTCTGCTGCCTTTGCAAAAGCACAAAAAGCTTTCTTCTGACAGAGTGAGTTTATTTGTAGCAGAAATATTTTCTTAGAAAAAGATTAATGTACTAGATAATGTAGAATCAGAATAAACAGAATATACAGTTTCAAATATTTAATATTTTAAAATCTATATTGGTACAATAGAACTATTTGAACTTTCTTAGTACCATTTATATAAAAAATAAAATTAAATTAAGAATTTATTAAAAAACTAGATTCTGTTACAGCTCAGTCGCAAAAGTTTTTTCCTCGTAATACAAAGTCAATTATTCATATCTCACAATCTGAATATATAATCCGTTGTAACATAGACGTACTATATTAAGCGGGAAATAATTAGTTTATTTATGAATAAATAACACTGTTTAGCATACAATATTGTGTGCTAATACCTTTACTACTGAAAGTGTGGAACAAATTGTTTACAGTTTGAAATAGGATTTTTTTTAAATGGTAGATTTTTAACAAAATTTAGAATTTACAAACATAAAAACTAGCTGAGCAACAAATATATCATAACATAAATGTAGGCTTATGTAAAGACTATTCATATTGTTAATATTCCAGAAATGTATCTAAAAATTCTTTAAAATATTTATTGTTGTTGGCTCAGCGTAATATAGAAACCGCGTTTCTAGTTATGAAGAACCCAATTACAAGCGCTAATCCCACTAACAAAAAACTGTCCTGGTTCTTTCGATACATCGAACACGCGACAATGACCCGGGTGCGTTTGGCGCCCGGGTCGGCACGCCTCTGTTGATGTCCATACGAAACGCGGAAACAAAATGAACGAGGTAATTCTACTATTGCCATAATATCAACAAGCATAGACCAACAATGCTGCTGTATAGATAAGAACTTTGGTTGGTAAACAAAATATTTAAAGTTGTATTAATATATCTATAGTTTTTTTTTTTTTTGAAAATACTTAGGCCACTGAGTTGGCGGTATCTTATAAGCAATAATAAAGACACATAAATGAGATTATATAAATATCATAAGATTGCACGTGCGACTTCATCTGCTTGGAGTTTTTGAAAATAGTTGTCATTTTTATATTAATTGTTATTTAGTTTCAGTTTTTTGTATTAGTTTTATTGAGAAAATTTCTTTCACAAACATATACATAAATGTTAATTTTTCTCATGTACGGCAAAATGTTCAGAAGACTTGAAACGTAAAGATATGCAAAAAATTGCGATTACTGTAGTAACTTACCCCACGGGAATTAACAAAAGCAATATATAAGGTAATATAGTATTACATTACTCAAATCCTACCAATGCTAAACGCATTTTGCAAATTCAAATTAACATATATGAATTTTATCCAATTTTATTTGAATACCATTTACAATTTTTATATCAAATAATTTAAACGTATTATAAATTATAATCCAAAAGCGTTTAATAATCTGTTGAACTTGCGTACATCCTCCATTAATTAATAACCGGCTTATAGAAGAGGCGTTATAAATTACCTACTTTAACTCATCATGATATGATTATTAAATCATCCCATTTAATCTCATATTTAATCACGCTGGAATATTTTCGAGAGATGTGAAATTAAATATGTCAGCTATATTCTTCACGTCTAATCCACGATTAAGCATTAATTAATGTGAAATGCTAAATAGTCATTAATCAAACTCATTTCTCACATTTTGTTTAATTGAAAATTAAGAATTTAAATGTGAATTTGACCCAAGCTTGTTTGTATTGTGCATTTTTATAATACTAATTTAATTTCTAAAAACTGCATAATGATTGAAATTAGAAATATAGATATGTGTGTAGTTTTAATTGTAGTTTTAAATAACTTATATGTTTTATCCACTGGAGAAGCGACAAAGTGGATAGTTGAAATATTTTAATTGATTGAATAATTTCTCAATATTGTTGGAACTGCGTGCAACTTATTTTTACCAGAGATTATAAAAACGACGAATAAGTTAGAAAGTTAAATACTTCACTTTCTGGTTCGTTTGTCCCAGCAGAAGTTTTTACAAAGTTTAACTTTGCGCAAGAATAGCTAAATTTATTCCACAAACACTTCTATATTACTAATAGAAATTCTTATCTCGTTGTTCTGCTAATTTTCACATTTCTATCTGAAAATATATTTAACTAACCAATTTGAAATGGAAACGATAAAAGTCAATATGTTTTAGTAAAATGATAAATAAAATATTCGTAAAGTGGCATGTATAAATAATGTTATATGCAATATTATGAATAACTTCACTGAGCAATTAAAATTCAATCATGGAT